CTGCAATGACTGCTTTGTTAGGTAAATGATAACTTAACATGCTTTAAGGATTAGAAAAACCTAGTGCTGGAGAGACAAAAATGGATCTGTCAAGCAACACAATCTCTACCAGCAGTTTTTCTTGCTTTTACTTCTAAAGGAAATTGAGCTTAGTATTAATTCTGTGATAAATTGTTTAAGCCTTGGATCAAATCATTGCTCCTCAAAATATCTTTGAGAAGGCCAGGCACAGCAGCACATGCCTTTAGTCCCAGCTACTCTGGAGGTGAGGCAGAAAGACCGCTTGAACCCAGAAGGTCAAGGTCAAAGTATGCAATGGTGGCACCTGTGAACAGCCACTGCATTCCAGTTTTGGCAACACTGGGAGACCCTATCACTAAAGGAAAAAAAAAAAGAAATTTTAATATTAGAGAATTAATACATTTAACAATGTACTACTTGAAGGCAGTGTTTGGCTTCATACAGACATAAGTTCAAATTCTGGCTCTGCCACTCACCAGTTATATATTCTTGGACAGGTTAATAAGCCTCAGTTTTGGCATATGTAAAAGAAAACAAACTTTACAGGAATGAGAGGATTCTTGGGAGGCTTAATGGCATTATGCATATAAAAGTGGTATAAGGCTGAGAGTGGTAGCTCAAACCTGTAATTCCAGCACTTTGGGAGGCCAAGACAAGAAGATTGCTTGAGTCCAGGAGTTCGTGACCAGCCTAGGCAGAATAGCAAGACCTCATCTCTCCAAAAAAAAAAAAAAAAAAAAAAATATATATATATATATATATGTGTATATATATATATATATATCAAAAAATTAGCCAGTTGTGGTGGCACATGCCTGTAGTCCCAGTTATTTGAGAGACGGAGTCGGGTGGATCACCTGAGCCCAGGAGGTAAGACTGCAATAAGCCGTGATACTTGCCAGTGCACTCCAGCCTGCATGACAGAGTGAGATCTCGATGCAAAAAAAAAAAGTATAGCATAAACAATGATGATCAAGACACAACTTACTAGTCAGGTGACTTTGAAAAAATTATATAACTTCTCTGAGGTTAAGTAGTGATGTGATACATATGTCAGAGGGTTGCTGGCTTTTTCAATGAGACTCTAGGGTGGGGGTCAGCAAACTTTTCTCTTATTTATTTATTTATTTATTTTAAGAGAAACCAGGTCTCACTATGTTGCCCAAGCTGGACTTGAACTCCTGGGCTCAAGTGATCCTCCCACCTCATCCTTCAGAGTAGCTGGGACTATAGGCATGCACCATTGCATCTGGCTAAACTTTTCTTTAAAAGCTAAGAGAGTGAATATTTTAGGCTTTGCAGGCCATATGGTCTGTATCACAACTACTCAACTCTACCCCTGTGGCATGAAGCAACCATAGAAAATATTTAAATGAATGAGCATGGCTGTGTTCCAATAACATTCTACTCACAAAAACAAGTGATGGGCCAGATTTTGCCCATGAGCTAAATTTGTCAAATCCTGCTCTAGTAAATGATCAATAAAAATGATAGAACTCTAGTAAGACACGCAATCATCTTTTTAATTAGGTAATTGATAAAAGATTAGATACAAAGTGAAAGAACTGAAGAGTCTAATCTTTCTCTAGACATAGATAAACTTTTCCACAACTATTCCATGTTAAATTTTCAAATGGATTCTATGAGTAATAGTGCAGGTCACTTCCTTCTGATAAAAGTTCTTTTTTAAAAAAGTTGTAATTCCTGGCAAAAAAAAAAAAAAGAAAAAAAGAAAAGAAAACCAACTACAAAGATTTAAAAAAAGACAAACTTTCAAAACAATAAGTGAATCTAAATGTTTTTATTACAGGAATCAGATAAAAAGAATTACAAACTAAAAGAAAAAGCAAAATCACAGAAGACAAAGTATGTACAATGGTAGAATCAACAATACTCCCCAAACATGCCAAAACAAGAAGAAATTATCTGTATTAATCAGGTTATGAGAGAGAAAAGAAGAAAATGTGACTATAAGATAAGAACACACAGAAATACAGAAAGACTTCAATAAACTTGTAAGCAATATAAAGAACAAAATAAATCCATGAATTTGTAATAAACGGAATTAATGGAAAATGCTCTGTGGTGCACTTAGAAACCAAAAATCACAGGTAAATAACACAGCAGTCAATAAGAAATGGAAAAATAAAGGGCAAGCTAAAAATAAAGAACAAGAAGATCCAATTTAAGAATAATACAGCCGGGCGCTGTGGCTCAGCCTGTAATCCCACGCCTTTGGGAGGCTGAGGTGAGTGGATTGCTCGAGCCCGCGGGTTCGAGACCTGTCCGGGCAGGCAAGACCTCATCTCTACAATAAAATAAAAAAATTAGCCGGGTGTGGTAGCGCACGCCTGTAATTCCAGCTACTCGCAAGGCTGAGGCGGAAGGATCACCGGAACCCAGCAGGGCGAGGCTGTGGTGGCCGGGAGCGACCACTGCACTCCACTCTGGGCAACAGAGTGAGACTCCAACTCAAAAAGAAAAAAAAAAAAAGAATAATAGAGAAACAAAAGTAAACCGATAAGGCTGTAATTTAAATCACTGTGCACAGACACTGTTAGCTGCCAAGTTAATATCCACTCTTGTGAGGAAAGAAACATAAGGAAGAAAATGATATGCTAAGAATAACAGAGGAGCCAAGCGCAGTGGCTCACGCCTGTAATCCCAGCACTTTGGAAGGCTGAGGCAAGAAGATCACTTGAGCCCAGGAGTTCAAGACAAGCCTAGGCAACACAGCAAGACCTCATCTCTACAAAAAAACAAATTAGACAGTCATACTCAGGAGGCAGAGGTGGAAGGATGGCTTGAGCCCAAGAAGTTGAAACTGCAGTGAGCTGTGATCATTTGCCACTGTACTTCAGCCTGGGCAACAGAGTGAGACCATGCCTCAAAAGAAAAAAAAAGATGGAGTAGAAAAATGGAAGGGACTCAGGCAATTGATGGAGACCATGACTGGTGACATCATGGAGTTACTAGATCCGCCTGGGGTTGCCTATTTCCATGCTTCCTGGCACATGGGAAAAATAAACTATATTTGATTATGTCACTTTAGTTCAAGTTCTCTTTCATACAGCTGAATATAATCCCTAACTGATGTTCATGCTATATATTATCAAATCTAGAATGCTGTAGATTATAAGATGCCCCATTATTTTGTGCACAACTTACTAAGAAAAAAATCTTACCACTTATGCTACAACACAATGCCAAGATAGTCCTATTTGATATGTGAATTGACTACACCTAGCTTTAAAATTTCTTTTATTTACTTGAAAGGATTTTGTAGTTTATCTGGTCATCCATTTCATTGTAGGAGGATGATAAGCAATTCTCACACACCAGTCACTAAACTGAATCCACTTGTGGATATCATCTTTTCTTCAAGGCTTTGCTTTTCAAGACTACTGCATATCATTGTGTGGTCCGTGCTTTGCACAAAAGCACCTGACCAAGAGAGGTAAACAAGGGCTGAAATCCAGTCCAGAAGGAGAATGGGAAAACCTTTGCATCTCATCTGCCCAGAGAGAGGCCTTTTTCTGATTTGCACAATGGATCAGTGAGTGTTAGCTATAGCCCTGACACTGGGAAGGTGGTGGAGAAAAGGAAAGACATGGTTCCTGACTTCATAGTTTTTGTAATTTTATGGGGAAGAAGGTTTGGAAATAATGAAATGTGATAGTGGCTGTGAAAGAGAAGATCTGAGGCTCTGAGAACACAAGACAAGACTGCCAAATGGTAAGGGGTCAGGAGAGGCTGCGACCTGAAGAGCGGGAGCTAGCTGGATGAAGGGATCGTGGTAGGGAGGAAGGGCATGGCAGGAAAAAAGAGCCACATATGTGATGGCTCAGAATGAAAGGAATATGTTGCCTTTGAAGAAAGTGTATCTTCATGAAGAGAATGTGGAGATGGAGGTTTTTTAAATGGTGAGAAAATGATACATTGTCCAAACAAGGTAGGGTTGTATAAGCCATAATACAGATTTTTTTTTTTTGAGTTGGAGTCTCACTCTGTCGCCCAGACTGGAGTGTGGTGGCTGCTCCCAGCCACAGCAGCCTCGACCTGCTGGGCTCCAGTGATCCTTCCGCCTCAGCCTTCCAAGTAGCCAGCATTACAGGCATGCGCTACTACGCCCGGCTGATTTTTTGATTTATTGTAGAGATGAGGTCTCGCTGCCCAGGTGGGTCTCGAACCCGCGGGCTCAGGCAATCCACTCACCTCAGCCTCCCAAAGGCGCGGGATTACAGGCTGAGCCACTGAACCCGGCTAGATTGTTTTTTTTTTTTTTTTTGAGTTTGAGTCTCACTCCGTCACCCAGGTTGGAGTGCAGTAGCACACTCACGGTCACTCCAGTGTCGACCTGCTGGGCTCCAGCGATCCTTCTGCTTCAGCCTTCCAAGTAACTGAAACTACAGGGACGTGCTACCACATCTGGCTATTTTTTATTTATTGTACAGACGAGGTCTTCCCAAGTTGCCCAGGCTGGTCTCAAATCCATGGGCTCAGGCAATACACTCGCCTTGGCCTCCCAAAGTGCTGGGATTACAGGTTGACCCACTGAGCCCGGCCCATAACAAAGATTTTTAGACTTCATCTGGAAGCAAATGGAGAACTTTGAAGGATTTTACACAGGAGTATGGCATGATTTGATGTGTTTCAGAAGACACACTGCGAAAGATGATGTGGAGAAGGGGGTGCTAGGAATCTATCACATAGTTCAGGTGTGATGTACTGGCGATTTAGTCAAGATTGGTAGCACAGGCACTGGAGAAAAATGAATGGATTTGAGATTGACAAAATAATATTAGATTGGCTTGTGGGGAGGCAAGAGTATGGGGAAGAATGAAGTGAGGGAAGCGAGAAAAAAGTTTGGGAGAAGATAAGAAGGAGAGAATAGATGGTCATGCCATTTACTGAACTAGGGGAGAAGAACAGGTACAGTTTAGGGACCAGATAATTCCCTTTCACACATGTTGAGTTGGAGGGACCCTGCAATATCCAGCTGGAAACAGCTCTTTCCATCTCCGCACCTCTCCTCCAGGCACGCTCCTCTTACCAGTGCATCTCCTCTTCCATCTTCTCTTCCTTTCCTGAATCCAAGGCCTCCCAATCTTATCTTCAATTCCCATCAGAGGAAGCAAACACTTAAAAAAAAACCATATAAATGAAAAGATTAATCATAGAATACTACTCAAAGAAGATATTTAGCAAATGATTTCATACCAGAGTTTGAAGCATCTGCAGCTGGATTATGTCCACTAGTTTGCGGCTTCCCCAAAATGACCGTTGGGTATTCACCTTGAATCTGCTGAGGAAAAATGGTCTCCAGTGGGATCGTTCTCAGAAGACAGAAAGAGAGCAATTGAAAGACAAATTCTAACATTTCTCCTTAGAGTTACCAAGGATGACAATCACCCTGGTACATGTATCACAACAAAACGGAATGAGATCCATGGTTTTTACATGGTGCTTAGCTGTGAAACTCTTTTGTCTAAGAATAGGTTCCCCAGAATTAGAACCTGAGATGGAGATTCTTGTGCAAGTGATTTGTGGAGAAAGCATGCCTGGAGAAGAAGAGGGAGGGAAGTAGGGCAGAAAGAGCTGAGTAAGGATAGAGTTTCAACTGGAGCCCTGAAGCCAAACTGCGCTGCAGAGTCTATAAGTCTCAAGGCAAAGGGACATCCTTTTATACCCTCTCAGTTGTTCATTGACTGAAACAAAGACAGCCCTGAGCTGAAGGCAATACTTTGGACCAGAAGGGAGTTATGGGTCATAACCAGACAAATGTCACAGCTGGGGGATGGGTGAACCAGGCCTGGGAAAAGAAACCTGGACAGGAAACCAATGGCTTTCTTCCAAACACACACACACACATACACACACACACACACACACACACACACACACACACACACACATAGAGTTAAGGATGATCTTACCTATGACCCTGACCCTGAGGCAACTTTACAGAAATCCTTTTGACTCCTTATCACCCCCAGGAAAGGAGAAAGGTCACCAGTTTTTATGAGAAACCTATAGGAATAAATAACAAACACTATGTTTAAATAGTGTTTTAAAATGGTAGAAAGGTAACAAATTAGATAAGATCATCATCATCTCAGAAGGAAATTACAAATTTAAAGCACACATTAAAAACCCCGTGAATGAAAGAAGAAAGAACAGAAAAATAAAGATACCCTTTACAAGAAGATGCCAAAAAAGAAGACTATATCAATTTCTGGACCCAGTACATATTGGGTGCTTAATAAAGATTTGTCAAATTGAACGAAATTGAATTTAATATTCCCCCCAAAACATCATATACTAGATGTTTAACTTTTTTAATTGCTATAAAAATACTTAAAACCTAAAAAGTTAAGCAAACCAAATGTGAAGACTGTTTCCACAGGTCATCTGTCAGCACCTTGTCCAATAAAGTGCTCTCCCAAACAGTTCTATGAAATTTGCTGTGCAGTCACAGAGCACTTTAGTGTATTAACAATCTGAGAAGTACTGGAAAAAATAATAAACTCATTAAATATCTTTAAACTGATGTTTCCCAAACATATCAAAACTCAGGCACTCTGGGCGGCCTGAGTTTTGATATGTTGAGCCTAGGAGTTCAAGACCAACCTAGAAAACATAGCAAGACCTTGTCTCTACAAAAAAATTCAAAAAATTAGCCAGGCATGGTGGTCCCAGCTACTCAGGAGACTGAGACAGAAGGATCACCTGAGCCCAGGCGGTCAAGGCTGACATGAGCTAGTGATTGTGCCACTGCACTCCAGCCTGGGTAATAAAGTAAGACCCTGACTCAAAACAAAACAAAACAAAACAAAAAGCCAAAAAACAATCCCAGAATTCCTTCAAGTTAACTTTTCATATTCTATTACGGTTAAATTATGAGCCCTCAAAATTCATATGTTGAAGTCCTAACCCTCCGTACCTCAGACTATGACCTTACTTGAGAAACAGGATCTTTACAGAGGTAACAAATTTAAAATGAAGTAATAGAGGTGACCCTATTCCAATATGACTGGTGTCCTTATAAAAAGGGGAAATTTGGATATCAAGACATACACAGAAGGAAAACAACATGAAGAGACCCAGGGAGAAGATGGGCATTTACAAGCCAGGGAGAGAGGCCTGAACAGATCCTTCTCTGTCATCCCTCATAAGGAGCCAACCCTGCCCACACCTTGGTTTTGGACTTCCAGCCTTCATAACTGTAAGGCATACATTTTTTTTGTTTAAGCTACCTGGTCTGTGGTACTTTGTTGCAAAAATCTCAGAAAACTAATTCCACAGAACATGCCAAGGGAAAATACTGAGGATGGAGTAGCATAGACCACCTGTTTGATTATTTTTTAAAAGTAAGAGTTTCGGTCTCACTATTTGATTTCAGAGAGAGATAGTCATTATATAATGGTAACAGGTATAATCAACAAGGGCCTGAAAATACCAGAACATCATAAAAAGGAAAAAAAAGGCAGAAACAGTTATAATTTGAAATGTCAGTGGTTCACATAACAAATCAAGAGTATTCAGATTTAATGAAGGAAGTTCAGAGTTGATTAGTATAATAGATTAGGTAGAATTAACGGGCATGTAGAATCATAGCAGAAGTTGATATATTTCTTCTAGGGGATAGGTGATTGAAAATATCAATTAAATGAAGCACAAAAAATTTATTCTTATGAAGACAAAAAGATTCTATATACTACAGTTCCAAAGTAAAAAGGGATGTTACCTGAAATAAAGAACAATATCAAAATTCATTAAAAGTTTAAACTAACTTCTTAAATAATAACCCACATCAGAGAAGAAATCTACAACATAATCCCAATATAGTTTAAAAACATATTCACATTTTATATTGCATGCATATGATCAACAATATATAAAGTGCATATGGCTCACACACAATTATGCAAACAACATGCAAGTAAATGCAATAACTATGCTGTCTTTGGGTTATGAGACTGAGCCATAATGTTTCTCATATTATAAATTTTCTAAATTACCTGCTTTCTATAATGAAAGAAAGACATCATGAGAAAGTAGAAAAAGGAGAATTTAAAAAACAAGCATAAATTAATAAAGTATGAAAAAACTGTAGACTCAATAATAGGAGGTGCTTTGACAATTTTTAAAAGTGCTAATTAAAATCAAAGAAAAACCCAATTTATTAATATTAAGTGAAAGAAAAAGTCATTATAATTTAAACAAAAATTTTTGTTTCACTGAAATGAAATATTATGTTCAATTATATGTTAAAGTACTTGATAACCAAAATGAAAAGAATGAATTTTTAAAAAATATAAAATGTAATAGAATTAGCAGAAATATAGACTTTATTCCCACTGATGCAACCCCCTGCATCATCTCATAAGATTTCTTTTTTTTTTTTTTTGAGTTGGAGTCTCACTCTGTCGCCCAGACTGGAGTGCAGTGGCTGCTCCCAGCCACTGCAGCCTCGACCTGCTGGGCTCTGGCGATCCTTCCGCCTCAACCTTCCAAGTAGCTGGAACTACAGGCGTGAGCTACCACGCCCAGCTAATTTTTGATTTATTGTAGAGATGAGGTCTTGCCAAGTTGCCCAGGTGGGTCTCGAACCCGCGGGCTCAGGCAATCCATTCACCTCAGCCTCCCAAAGTCACGGGATCACAGGCTGAGCCACCGAGCCCGGCTATCTCATATGATTTTTAAAGAACAGCTTTAAAAAGTTTTCTATAGATATCAACTACTCTGGTTATTCCACTCTTGAGTGAAAAATTAACAGGATATGATTTATTGCAATAGACTCTTTAGAGTAGGGGGAAAAGCTAACAGAAATAAATACAAGAAAATAAAAGAGGAGGAGAAAAGCACATGGCCATGCTGAATTTGCAGATTTTTTTTTTTTTAAATTGGAGTCTCACTCGGTCGCCCAGCCTAGAGTGCAGTAGCACGCTCAGAGTCACCCCAGCGTCGACTCACTGGGCTCAGGTGATCCTTCCACCTTAGCCTTCCCAGTAACCAGAACTACAGGCATACACTACCATGCCTGGCTAATTTTTTGATTTATTGTAGAGATGAGGTCTCGCCAGGTTGCCCAGGCTATTCTTGAACCCATGGGCTAAGACAATCCACTCACCTTGGTCTCCCAAAGTGCTGGGATTACAGGCTTGAGTCACTGTGCTTGGCGCAGATCTTTCAAATAGCAAATAATTATATCACATTAGTTGTTTCAAAAAATTTAAAAAGGCCAGGCACAGTGGGAGATCATGGCAGGGAGGCCGAGGCAGGGAGATCGCTTGAGGACAGTAGTTTGAGACTAGCTTGGGCAACATAGAAACACCCCATATCTACAAAAAAAAGTTTAAAAAATTAGCCAGGCATGGCAGCGCTTGCCTGTATTCCTAGCTACTCAGGAGGCTAACACAGGAGGATTACTTGAGCCCAGAAGTTCAAGGCTATAGTGAGCTATGACTGTGTCATTGCACTCCAGTCAGAGGGAGACTATGTCTCAAAAAAAAAAGAAAGAAAGAAAAAGACAATATGTTTCTAAAGTGACTTTGTAAGTTAAATATGGGTTTGTTTCCCAAGCTTAAGACTAATATCAAAAAAGATATTATAATTATAATGATAATTATATTTATAATCATCAGCATATATGCAAAAGAAGACAGAGAGATAGGAGGGAGAAAAAAAGTGAGGCAGTAAAGGGAAAAAGGAAGGGGATGAAACGAAATCATTACAAATAAATTGTCAGCTGGATGCGGTGGCTCACACCTATAATCCCAACTCTGAGGCAGAGGGTAATTTGAGGCCAGGAGTTTGAGACCAACCTGACCAACATAGCAATATCTTCATCTCTACAAAACAAGTAATTTCTAAAAATTAGTGGATATGGTGCATGTGCCTATAGTCCCAGCTACTCAGGAGGCTGAGGTGGGAGGGTCACTTGAGCCCAGAAGTTCAAGGCTGCAGTGAGTTATGATCACTCCACTACATTCCAGCCTGGGTGACAGGGCAAGACCTTGTCTGAAAAAAAAAAAATTGTCACTGATGACCAAGTAAAGCTTCTTCCAGGAATGTAGTGTTAATATGGCACATAAAACATTATCAAGATGATTAATCATATTAACAAGACAGAAGAAAAATCATATAATTAGATGAGCAGGTACAAAAAAGTATTTCATTAAATACAAAATGTTTTCTTGAATAAAACACTAGAAATTATTTCTTAATATGATAAGGAGTATACATTTAAAACTGATGGTAACTATTACACTTAGCATAAAACATTAAAAATGTTCAGCTTAACAACAGAACCATGTCAAATTTACCTTTCTCTTTCATTCTACTTAATATTGGACTAAAAAAGTTGTCCATAATTATTTAAAATAAAATAAAGCTGATGTCATATAAAAGATGGAAAAATAATATATTACTTTTTACAAAATATTATAAATGAGTTTTGTGGAGAAGCAGGTTCCAAGAAAGATCCATACTTTCTTTTTTTCTTTGAGTTGGAGTCTCACTCTGTCACCCAGGCTGACGTGCAGTGGCATATTCACGGCCACCCCATTGTCGACCTGCTGGGCTCCAGCAATCCTTCACCTCAGCATTCCAAGTAGCTGGAACTATAGGCGCATGCTACCACGCCCAGCTAATTTTTTAATTTATGGTAGAAATGAGGTCTCGCCAAGTTGCCCGGGCTGGTTTCGAACCCGCAGGCTCAGGCAATTCACTTGCCTCGGCCTCCCAAAGTGCTGGGATTACAGGCTGAGCCACCGAGCCTGGCAGATCCATACATTTTAATTGAATGTCCTATATTAGTGACAAATAAAACCCAATAAAATGAAGATGTTTGCTTTAGAACCCAGCAAACAATGATAACCAAGAAGAGAATACAAATAGAGAAAGGAGCCACTATTTATTGGGATAACTAGGTATCCTTATCAAGAATTATGTACAATGAAATAAAACCTATTTTTAAAACCAGAAGCTATAAGAGAGTGTTAGGTATGGGGGTTTA